AGCTTGGGCTGTTGCTTCAGACAGTGGAAGCCCCAAGCCTTGGCAGTTTCCACATGCTGTTGAGCCTGCAGGTGCACGGAAGTCAAAAATTGAGGCTTGGAAACCACCACCTAAATTTCAGAGAATGTATGGAAATGCCTAGATGCCCAGGATGAAGTTTGCTGCAGGGGTAGGGCCGTCATGGAGAACCTCTTCTAGGGCAGTGCAGAAGGAATATGTGGAGTGGAGCCCCCACACAGAATCCCTACTAGGGCACCACCTAGTGGAGCTGTGAGAAGAGGGCCACTGTCCTCCAGATCCCAGAATCATAGATCCATCAACAGCTTGCACCATGCACCTGGAAAAGGCACAGACACTCAATGCCAGCTGGTGAAAGCATCCAGGAGGAGGGCTATACCCTGGAAAGCTGCAGAGGCGGAGCTGCCTAAGGCCATGGGAGTTCACCTCTTGCATCAGCATGACCTGGATGTGAGACATGGAGTCAAAGGAGATAATTTTGGAGCTTTAAAACTTGACTGCCCCTGTAACCCCTTTGTTTTGGTCAATTTCTTCCATCTGGAGTGGCTATATTTACCCAATGCCTGTACTTCCATTGCATCTAGGAAGTAACTAACTTGCTTTTGATTTTACAGGCTGCTCATAGGCGGAAGAGACTTGCCTTGACTCAGATGAGACTTTAGACTGTGGACTTTTGAGTTAGTGCTGAAATGTGTTAAGACTTTGAGGGACTGTTGGGAAGGCATGATTGGTTTTGAAATGTGAGGACATGAGATTTGGGAAGGACCAGGGGTGGAATGATATGGTTTGGCTGTGTTCCTACCCAGATCTCATTTGGAATTCCCACAGATTGTAGGAGGGACTTGGTGGGAGGTAACTGAATCATGGTGGCAGGTCTTTCCCAGGTCGTTCTTGTGATAGTGAATGGGTCTCATGAGATCTGATGGTTTTATAAGGGGGAGATTATCTGCACAAGCTCTCTTCTCTCACCTGCTGCCATGTGAGACGTGCCTTTCACCCTCCACTGTGATTGTGAGGCTTCCCCAGCCACATAGAACTATAGGTCCAAAAAAAACCTCTTTCTTTTGTAAATTGCCCAGTCTTGGGTATGTCTTTATCAGCAGTGTGAAAACTAATATACCATTATACAAGTTCTTACGTTACCTGATGAAAGAGAGCTAATTGTCTATCATAAAACCATAAAAACTTTGTTAATACATTTTGAAATCTGAATAATGAGAGAATAGAAATTCTGAACACACATACTGGTTTATCTATAAATTAGAAATATATGTTTCCAGGAAAAAATTGCTTATTCGAAATTAGAAAAAAACAAAACCCAGTCTTTCTCCTTGTCAACATTTAAAGTTATTAGACAGTAAGACATTCCAAAGCATAATTTAGTTGTTTATCAACAAGAAAAATGTATTACAAGACATTAATTTTATTCCAAATTTTTAAAAAATCTGCTTTTCTCCATGTCAGTATTTAAAGCAGGTGCCATCTTCTGATTAATTAAATCACAAGATGTTCCTTATGCTAACGTCTTAGCAAATAAAACTTAAACAGAAACTGTTAGTTGCACTGTTGTCATTTCTTCTTCTACTTTAAAAAAATTATTCAGAACACCACATGGCCAGCTTGCAAGCTTATTTTCCAGATCACTGATAGCAATGCAATTTTGTATTTGTGTGTGAGTATGTGTTTTGTTTTGAAAAAGACATCAGCTTGAAGCAGTTTCAAATCTCTGGCAATGATTTCTTAAGGAGTATGTCAAAAATGAGCTATTGAACACATTTTTGCCAGGTCACTTGCCAAGTACTTGCTAGGGAGATGTCAAGTTTCAGGGCAACCATAATCCACATTTATGAAACTACTTGGAAAACGATGTGAGAGTTCTGTGGATCTTGCTAAGTATTTTTAGAACAATCAAGAGAATTTTGTTCCTTAGTTTTAGCATATTATAGTCCTCAACGAATATTTTACAAGTTTTTTTTCTCAGATATGGTCCCCAAATTTTCTCGAGAAATTCATGTGCTTGAATACTTGTTTAAGCACAATTCAGAACTGCAGGAGGTCTAAGTCTGCAGTGGCTTCATGTAAAGTTAACTTTTTTTTGAATGTAAAAAGGTCAAAATTAATGAAGAAACTGGCAAATTCAAAGTTCCACCAAGGAATAGCCCAGTGCTTTTAGCAATCCATTTGAAATGAAGGAGGGAAACCACTCTCTTTAACATTTTCAAGTTTTGAAAGTCTAATGAACCATGCTACCTCCTGTAGTTTCTACCAAACCAAGATGTGTGCTAGGACTGGGCTCATTAGCATTAAGTAGAAGCAGAACACTCAGTTCTGGCTATAGCTTCTTGTAATGTTTTAGTATTTGGTTGACAAAATACTGCTATCTCAACCGTTACTTCATTTTTCTTACTGTTTTTGATATAAAATTCCTGTTATACCATGAATTAAATGTTCCTGAGAGAAAAAAAAAAAAAAAAAAAAAAGACTTTTTCTGTTAATTCTTTTTAACAAGTGCGCAAAATATATTATTTTTTCAACAACGTGGATTCTCGAAGCAAGGTAGTTCTTGTGACTGTTTACTTTCTCTTTCATATGTCCCAGACTATTGAATTATGGTTTGTGAGATAAGGAAGAAAAGGAGTAATGAAAACATAGATTATTAGATATATAGGTAACTTGGGGTTTTTTTTTTTTTTTTTGAGTCATTAAAGTAGGAATTACATTATCAAAGCTCAAAATGTTAGCAATGAATTTAATTCAACGGCTTTAAAATTTTTTACATCTCGTCTGGGCGCGGTGGCTCACGCCTGTAATTCCAGCACTTTGGGAGGCCAAGGCAGGTGGATCACTTGAGGTTAGGAGTTCTAGACCAGTCTGGCCAAAATGGTGAAACCCTGCCTCTACTAAAAATACGAAACTTGGCAGGGTGTGGTGGCACGTGCCTGTAATCCCAGCTACTTGGGAGGCTGATGCAGGAGAATTGCTTGAACCTAGGAGGTGGAAGTTGCAGTGAGCCGAGATCAAGCCACTGTACTCCAGCCTGGGCAACCGAGCAAAACTCTGTCTAAAAAAGAAAAAAAAAAATTATGTCCCTTCATTGCAGAGAATAATTTTTGCTGAAATGAAAAACCACTAATTATTTGGAACACACCTTTTCAGGTTACTAGATTCTGATTCTTTTGGAGCCTCTGTATTTTTCATTATATTTGAACTCTTTTTCAAGCTGTAAATAAATAATACTAAAGCAAAATATTTCTGGTCTACAGATATGGGAATAAATTCTGAGGGATAAAGATTCCATTGAATTCTCCTCCTCACTCTGGAAGCCAGTTTTGCCTCCATGAGTACATTAATTTCAAGGTTTTTGATCTATAAATGTGTATGTTCTTTAAATTATCCTTTTATCTGGTTGTAATATCCTATCAGGTCCTTCATTAATGAATTGACATATTCATTTCATAAGTGTATGAAAATCACACTTTTTATGTTTTTTAAACTAAGTGGTGATATCCATAGGATTTGTATTATGTTCATATTTTGAAAACAAAATACAAATGTATTTCTTAGGTTGCATATAATTTAATTTCTAGAATTAGAATCTTTCTCTTGCTCTACTGTCCCAGCACAAACAGATGTTCATGTTAGTGTTTCAATATAAATGGGCTCAAACAACATCTCTCAGATTAGAATCAGTATTCTGTTGTGATTTTTTTAAAAAAGTGTGTATGTATTTTGATCTCCATTTCCCCAAAAATTCTGTTGATTGCAGATGTCTGAAGAATAGTCTTAGTGGATTATCCCAAACTTGACACATCTTTTGCAAAATGCTATACAAAAAGAAGATATATGTGATTATGACAAGATTCTCCACTTGGTGTGACTGATCTAATACAACCCAAGGCTGTGTGTCCAAAGGTAACTGCATTGTGAGTTTCACATTTCCAAAGTTTTAGGTGATATGTACAATCTGATTAGACTTTAAATCTCATATCCTCTACAGGTATTGGAAAATACAAGGATGTCATAAATATGTATATTTATATTTAAAATTTGCTTACATTTATATAAATATATAAATAAAAATATACAAATAGTTGTTTATAAAGCTAACAATGTGATTATATGCTTTTCTTTTTCCTAGGTAGTGTGGGACTAGAAACAAATTTGGAATATTTTGCATTGCATATTTGGCTGAGATCTGCCACTTAGTTGAAGTATAATCTTCAGCAAGTGACTCAAAATTTCTGAATCTTGTTTTCATCATCAATATGTGACAATAATATTTTCTCCTTTAAGTATTTGAAAGTGTTGAGAAAACCATAATAGTAACACTTGCAAAAATGCTCCATTGTAAAATGCAAGGTAGAGGTAGTTGTGAGCCTTTGGGCAAAACTATAGTTGCCACAGTTGTCTCTGAGATGAAGTACTTTTCTTAGACTGAAGGAAATCCCTGGGAGAGATTGGTCTAGCCTTTGGATGACTGTGGGTAGAGTTTCTGGGGAGAAGAATGAAATGTATTCCTCTTTTCCTTCTCTCTAGGAATACTGGAAAGCATTTATTTGTTTGCTAAATTGCTCTCTTTCCACCAGTGATATCAACTCTTAAATACTTTTTAGTAAGTTTGGAATTACTAGAAAAACAGTGAATGTAAAAGTGAAGGTGTATGCGTCTTGGAAAGTTCAGAAGGAGTACATTGACTGATGTTTGGATCAAATTCCTCTAACTTGAATGAGTTACCTTGGAAAATTATCTCTACAAATTCTTACTTACATTTCTGACTGTCAGGTTAAAGTGAATAATTATTTTCTGCATACCTAGATGTGATTTGGAAGCATCTGTGTTTTGCCCTATTCTGTTGAGAGGGAAACTAGCTCTGTTTCATGTGCTGGTTTTCTGTGTCTGATACTTGATGTTTCTGTTGCTGTGATGTAATTTATTCAAGATAGATATGATAGATGTTGAAAAGGGAAGAAGTAATGAAGCTGTGGGGGAAATCAGACATTTATTAAAACGTTTCCCATTTTTTTTGTGGAGGGAGGGCTTTGGTGTATCTGGGTTTCTCAGAATAGCAATGATACCTATATTTCAAAATATCTTATAAAACCAAGCATGAATCTTTTTTATGGTTTGTTGTTTTATCTACCACATTGTTCTCATTTATTCAGTTGACTATCATAGAGGAACAGATATGGAAAAGAGGGCTTAAAGAATTCATTTGGCGTGAGATCTCATTTGTGTATTACGGTTCGGTATTTACAAACTAAAGGTGTTCAGTCAAATAACATGTTTTACTTGGAAACCAAGGTATTTTTAAGGAAATTGCATCTGAATGCCTTCAGGTGCCCATTGTTTCATACCCAACTGTCTTAAGAAATTACACTCTGCCTTGCTCTTACAAGCATTTGAGTTTTCAGTTGTTTAGCCTGTAAGATCATCAGAATTTTATCATCAGTCTCTGTTGCTAACTCTGCTGTATTTCACCTAGTAAAGATTCTAAATAATTAATAATAAAATGTTTCCAGAAAACTTATTTTTAGTTTAGATGTAGTTCAGCTCATTAAACCTTTTAGGAATCAGCAACAGCAAGAAAGAAAATAGCGTGGAGTCCTTTGAAACGGTAGCATCTAAAAATTTTACCCTGTACTGCTTTAGAGTAAGCAGAAAGATGAATGTAATACAGGAAGTAAAGAGAATAGCAGAAATATCTTCAAATTATTATTTCTTCTTTCTTTCTCTTAAACTAATAGAGTTTTAAAATGAGTCAAATACATATTTTAATTGATAAACTGAGTTTATATTCACCTATTGGAAACAGTACAATATATTTTACATCAGGTTATGAAATATGGATGTTTTACTAAAAGACAGGAAGAGCTTTTTCCAGTCTTTAAAGTAAATACATATTCAAAGAATCTTAAGGCATACCATTTATTCATATTCATATCTATTGAAATACTGTACATCCACATACTTCAATAAATAGTTAAAAACCTGACCTCTTTTTAAATCATTTCTGGATTTCAAAAAACAATTTTTATTGAAAAGATTAAATAGGTAACTTTTGGCTGTGTCACAAAGCTAAGCACAATGGATAAATTAACAATTATTCAGTAAATTTGATCATTGTAGATGAATGACTTTGATAATTTAGTTTTTCAGAGTATTTTGACTTCAAACATAGGGGTGTATATATATATATATATGTGTGTGTGTGTATATATATATATATGTTTGTTTTTTTTTTGCCCTGAATTATCTGGGTAATTTTGTCAGTTCTCCAGTCTACTTTCTAGATATAGCTTAAACATTATGATGAAGCATTAATTTTTCAGTTAAGTTATAAACCCCCCAAAAGCGGCTTTACGTTTGAAATTCTCTCTCTCAAATCTCTTAGTGTCTCAAAAACACTCACATTACTATAACTTGGGCAATACTTTTTATTATACAATTGCTGCATAATAGGAACTCAATGGTATAATAGGACTTATGTTTCAAATGTGCTCATTGTAAAACATAATTACACCACTTGCAGTTAAACTAAGAATGCAAATGTGTAAGTTAACTACCCTAACACTCTGATTCTTCCTTCCCTCTCATCCTTTCTTTCTCCCTACCTTCTTCCCTTCCTTCTTTCATGCCTTCCACCCTTCCTTTTTTCCTCTTTACTGCCTTTCCTTTTCATTCTTTTTCTTTTCTCTCCATTCTCATTTTTAAACTGCTACTTATTTTTCTTTCTTCCTTCTTTAAAAAAAATAGGGGCAACAAAAGGAGTCCCACAAATGGAACCTGTAGAAAATATAATCCTGAAATGAACAGCTAACAAAACTTGTTATAGATTAAAAGATAAATCAATTTATAAAACTGCTATTCTGAAATTGCAACAATCTTGTACAGTCAGGACTGATAAAATGGAGTAATCAGACATTTTATATGTCCATAAATGTAAAATCATCTACTTGAACATTATATGCAATACATTCACACAAGAAAGCAAATACTGTAGCCTTATTTGACAATATTGAACTCATAAATACTCATGATTTCACTCTGTCCGAGGGCCTAAGGACTAGGAATGCTGCTGTGATACAGAAAAACATAGTGAATACCTCCTCTATTTAAAAATGTCACTCAAGAAAGTCTCTTCTAACATAAAGGCAAATACATATAGCTACTGAGCTATGACTGTACTTCTGTCACATTCTATGGTAAAAACACCAGACTCCACAAATTCGGAATCATGACAACACTTTGAACTAATTATTTGGTTCATCCATAGTTTATACCTCAATTTACCTACAAACCTTACAAAGAGGAGGTATTTTAACTCTAGGAAAGCGGTCACTGAATAATATGCATTCTTGATCTGTTTCTTTCTCCCAAACAATGGTACTGATGGTTAACATTTTCTGTGGTAGCACCACTATTTCTAGTAAGTAGATTATTATGGAGTGTGCCACTTTAAAGCTGCAATACAAAATAATATTTTGTAGTTTATTCACCAATTCCACAAAGAATATTTTTTAAAAGCAAATAAATAATAAAGTTAAATGCCATATTTGTTCTAAAAACTTTTTTAATGTATCAATCAAAATAATGTCATACATTTATTATAGTTAGTAGATTTACTAGCTTTATGCCTTATGATTGCGATTTTGTGGAAAGAGTATACTATGTCCCCTCATTTAAGATTCACTTTTCTAATTAAAATTGATTTATGGTGTACTTTGGGACTAAGTTTAACTTGAAGAAAAAAATAATCACAGTTTTTAAGCCATCCCTGCTAGGGCAACATACTAGATATCTCAAATATGTATAACCACTGCAAAATTTCTTGTCTCTAATTTTATTGTAGGATCTTTGTTGTTATGACTTATAAAAGGGGACTATTTGTAGAAATCTAGGTGTACTGAAATTGGTAACTTCATCAAACCCGTAAAATGGCTTTCAAGGTGATGGTCTTTCTTTAGTAAAGAGTGAAACCATCAAACTATTCCTGCAATTTAATGTTTAGAGTAACAGCATTTTCCTTCAAAATGTAGTTTTCATTATTTATAGTAGAAATAATTTAACATTCACAATATTTTGATAATTAGTATATCTTAAGATATTCTCATCATTGGTGTTTTGTCTTTATTTGATCACATCTTACATATATCATGTAAGAAAAAATAAGGGATGGTCTTTTTTGGTTTTACTTGTTTGAGCTGAAATGGCTATATAGAAAGATTTTATTGAAGAATTACCTATTTTAGAGATTGGTCTGCTACATACCAATATAGAATGTCTGTTATAATATATTTTGGAACTTTTAAAATATATAACATGCATTCCAGACTATCAACCGAGTGATATTTTCAGATGGAAAATATGCAAAATGCTCCTGTCCACAGGAGCACTGCCTCTGTCATACTAACTTAGCTGCCACAAAACAAAATTAATGATGAGTGCTTACCAACTCATGTAGTATTAGGTGATAGGACTTTGTGCCCTTTCTGACAAATCATCTTAAAATTTTTGGCTTGGAATAGTGAAAGGAAAAGACGCTGTATTGCTAGGCAATCCTTTGAATGGACTGTGCTGTCTTTTTAAAGGAAATGGTTTCCCACGGTGGATCTAACATTTAGCTACAACTAAAGAAATCACATGGTATATTTACTATACTGTTATTAAATTGTTTCTCATCACAAGAACTGAGTTAGTGTGGGGCAAAATTCACAAACCCCACTGTCAGTGCAGGAAGAGATTTTTACAGTCCAATAGCTCCTTCCTTCATTACTTAGAGATAGTGTATGGTTTAACTATCATTCTGGTTTATTTTTGCTTTCAAATTGTAAGATTTAGCAAAACATTTTATATTAGTTGGAGACGAAGAGAAAAATATTATTTTATGAAGGCACACCCATGCTGAACTTACAGGAAAGAGAAGCAGAGCTGCACAGCCAGTTATATTACAAGGCTCATTCCTGAAACCTGAATATCATGCGAGCAGAAAAATCTAGATATGTGTTATATTTTGAAGAAATAATCTGAAGGCAATATTATTTGCTTTTTTATCAAAAACGAAAAAATGCATCTTTGTAAATGTGGATTGACTCTTATTGAAACAGGGAACTGAATGCTTGTATTGCAGCCTTAAAGAATCACATATTCACTGCAATATTCGTTTTTGTAAACTACAGCCTGCAACCTAGCAGACCATGACTGAATGCTTTTGAAAAGTTGTAGATTACAAACATGAAATCACAATTAATATCCTCTAAAAGTAATTTCAGAGCTTTCACATCTTAAAAAAAGGACAATGTGTACTGCTTCACAAGGTAATGTAGCTAATCAAAAAAGAGTAGAATTAAAGTATTTACATAATGAGCAATTCTACAGAAGGCGATCATCCCCATGTAAGCACTGCTGATTATATCCCACGCTGCTTTTAACAAACTGTACCAGATTGGATTCAGCCATCAGCACTTTCAGAGAATCCTTAAAAGCCTTTTATGGGTCTTTAAATTTATTGTAGAATGGCATTCTTCAGGTAGAATATGCTGGTGAAAGAGGACAGTGTCAACACAAGGTACCAGCAGGAGAAAAGAACATCAGCGTTCCCGGTAATTCCATACTGGGCTGTACTTGGAGCTGGAAAGAAATGGAAAAGATTAAATCAAAATGTAATTTGTGTCTTCCAAGATCTTGACAATAATCAAAAGGTAGCCGGGTGCATTGGGGAAAGCACTGACATTGGAGTCAGACAGACTTAAGTTCATATCTGATTCTGCTATATGACAATGTGTGGGCTATGTGGCTAACTTCTCAGAGCTTCAGTTTTCTCAGGGCAAAATGAAAATAATAGAAATAATAGAATCTACCTCACAGGGCTGTGGTGAGAATTGGAGATGAAGCACATACAGCATATTACATCAACTAAACACATGCTAAGTACTCAAAAGCTACTAACATTATTATTCCTCTTATACATACTGTAAATATTTGTATTAGTGGACAATATTCATTCATGCGTGTATATGTAGCTGTGTTTTATTAGCTAAATACTGTACTAAATGCTAGAAAAACAAGAATACTGTCCCTTCCAAGGCCTTTTTTTTGGTAAGAAAAGATCTTCAAACAATTATAATACAATTCTGGGAATATTAGAGTTGCATGTGCATATCACAGTAGCACAGACAAATTGTGCTTTTAAATATGCTGGGCAAGGGAGATTTCAAGTACAGTTTTACCAAAGGAGACTATCATGTGGGTAGAAGAAACAACATATTCAAAGGCATAAGAAAAGGACAGAGCAAGGTGTATCATGTAGAATGTAAAGGTAGATTTAGTCTTGCTGGACTATGAAGTTTGAGGCCTGAAGTGGAGGGAATTGAAACTAGACCGCTAGACAGGTAGAATGACCTCTACTGTAATGAAAAAGGGACTAGATTTTTATACTGAAAGATATTTTGAAGAATTTGGAGAGTTGAATGTGTGACTACATTTACACATCAGAAAGATTACAGTCTTATATATGGGGAAGTTCACACGGTACTTGGCTAACAGTTATGTTGAATTTTCACTGAATACCTGAAGATTCATCACGTTTGGGATATTGTTGGAGTGTTCTGAAGGGGTACCACTTTGTTTATGAAAGGATAGTTGCCTACTTGTATGTAAATTATATTGTGTTCCAGAAATTAAATGCTACAACCGTGTTTGGACTTGTTTGAGACTGATTCTCATTTACCATCATAATAATAATAGCAATAACAAGAAACCCACCAGCATATTTTAACCACCTTTTCTTAATGAAACCTAGATTTCAAGCACTATTTCCTAGTAGAAATTGAATAATGTAGCAAAGAAATCGACTACTTCATTTCTGAATTTATAACTCAAATCCAGGAGCAGGTTTAGTCACACTGAGTTTGAATTACCAGAGATAGTTTTAATGAAACTTTCACAAATGACTATATTACTCTGTAACAAGAAGAATAAATTGTGTTGTTTACATTTCCAAGAAATTAAAGGGGATGAAAGATACATTGGTCCCTGCAGTGGGAAGTTTCCTTGACAATGCAATTATTGATTCCAGGTGAGTGGGATTTGAGCACTGAGACTACTATTTTTTAATAAACAGAGAGCAAAATTAACGATTTAGTGCATGTATATAATTACAAATGAGTTTTTTTTAAATAAAAAGATGAAGAAAGTAAGCCTATTGTTGAACAGACAGCTTTTCAATTTCAGATACATACAAAGTCTAATTTAAAGCTACGGAACTCCTTATTTTCCCTTTTTCAAGACCTAGAAAAATATTTTAAAAATATAAATAAATCTTTATTTAGTATATGACCTTCTCAATAATAGTCATGCTAGAATTGTTTTTCAAGAAAGTTGAGTGTAATAAAACTTGCATAATGGTAAAGGACCAATAATATGTAAAGCATATAAATGGTTTCATAAATAAGAAATAAAATTTAAAAGCTAAGCATAAAAAGCAAAGGTGAATTATTTTTGTTATGACAAATTAAGTAGTAACATTAAATGGGTAGATTATCAAGGCCCCTCAAAACTCCTTATCCATCCTTTAAAATGCATTTTTGGGCAATCTTTCCTGGATCCCCTCTCCTTCTCCAACAAACTGAGCTGACTACCCCTTTTGAGTCATGAGACCACGAAATATATATGTTATGTAACATCACACTGCATTGCAAATATTTGTTTACATATTCATTTCTTCCAACAGATTTAAACTCTTCTAGGTCATGTCTTATTCATCTTTGTGTTTCCAGACATAAAATCTGGCAAAGTGTGGTATATAGTGGATGCTCAAGAAATGTCTAAGAAAATGACTCAATCAAATGAATGGGTCATAATCAAAATGAGTATTTCTATCCTACAAAATGGAATCTCTTCTGTAGCAAGCCACATGATTATAGGCTAGAAAATGTACTATAGTAACATTCATTCATTCATTATTCATTCATTCATTCATTCATTCAGCAAGTTTTAATTGAACTAGGTACCAAGCACTCTCCTAAGTGCTGGCAATGCAGCACCTAATAAGATAGGTATGATCCTTTTATTACTTAATTCTGCCTTCCCCAATGTAGTTGTATCTTCTTCCACTCAGCCTCCTATTGTCTTAAACATAATAAAAAGATATTACCAATAGCATATTTTAAATTTATTACTTTACAATTAAAATAGCATACATTTTTTTCACTGATGCCACAAATGTATATACCTTTTTTTGTCTGTGAATATAATACTTATATCAGTTCTGAAATAAACTAGAAACTGGGGGATGAATTATTAGCTTGCAGTTGTTACAGGCGATAGACTGTGGAGCAAACGTGAATAATCAGTAGACCAAACTACAAAGATCTAAGTTAGTCACCATAATGTGAGATCAGATACTTAATGTCAAGTTCTATGTCATCAATCATATTCTTTAACTATCTACTGAATATCTATTATGTTCATGGGGTTGAATTAAGCCTCACATAGGCAAAGATGAATAAAACCCAATCCTCTCTTTCAGGAAGAGCTTATTCTAGTTGGGGATATAAATAAATAGGTAAATATAGAACATTAGGGTATATGGAACTTGAAGAATAATATACAAACTTGGGAAGACTCCCTAGGGGGTCACGGCAGATAAGTAATCTAGGCAACAGTTACAAATACAATTATTTTTTACAAAATGCAATGATATACATACGTTAGTACACACATATCTCATTTTTAAAATGGCTCTATAACATTCCATTGTTGGGGCATGCCATTGTTATGCAACTTTATTCCCATTAGCTGGCATTTATTATGTGTGGTTTGTGTGTGTTATGACTGTTTGGTTGAATTATTTGAAGAACAGTGCTAATGATACTAAAGGTAAGGGCCTCAGTATTATTTGGGTCAATAGATTTTCTTAGGTTAAATGCAAATCTACTACTTGATCTTGAGAAAATAACCATTAGCTATTAGAAATTAGCTTCAAGACTGGACTGAAATATCACTTAGAAAAAAACCTTCAGAAAATCCCATACGACAAATTAAGCATTACCGCCTTTCCCCCATATTACTTAGTAACTGGTAATACACTTACACTCTTAACCTGTTTAGGTCAAGAATGTCTTGAAGCAAAGATACATTATATATATCTTTTATCTTTGATACTGAACACAGAGTTTGGTACTTAATAGGTTTGTGCTTCACATCCATTTCCCCCAGTTACCACAAACCTATACGGAGACAAAATACCTTGACTTCTTTTGTCAGAGAGTATCATCTTTTCCTTTTGTATTTTTGCTGAATCTTTCTTCTTCTTCTTTTAGTTTCAGGCTTATTATACTTTGACCTGTACAGGTCAGACTACCTCCCTTAAGTATTTTGAGCAAGAAGACAAATCATTAAGTAGACAATATGGGAACAGAGCATGTACTGAACTTGATAACATCATACTCTTGCCACAAAAGACTGTCCGCATAGGTGAACCCATAGGTCCAAGCTAGAAGCCTGAATTCCTTAGAAGACATCTAGTTGAGCTTCTGGGATGGCCAGACCTGTTGAAGGATCTCTGCCAAGTTTTTAGCTGCTTTTCAATATCATGCTGCTATTTACCTTAAGTAAAATTAGGCAGGATATGTGGTGTGATCAGAGGTGTATCTGGGCTATGGCAAGGGCTTTAGCTTCATTCTAAGTGACATGAGAAGCCATAGGAGAGTTTGATTATTTTTAAAGGATCACTTGGCTACTCAGTAGACAATAGATTGTACTAGGAAAGGCAAGAGTAAAGCCTATGCTGACCGGGTGCAGTGGCTCATGCCTGTACTCCCAACACTTTGGGAAGCCGAAGCCGGTGGATCACCTGAGGCCAGGAGTTCGAGAATAGCTTGGCTAACATGGCGAAACTCCGCCTCTACTAAAAGTACGAAAAACTAGCTGGGCCTGGTGGCATGCACTTGTAGTCCCAGCTACTAAGGAGGCTGAGGCATGAGAATCACTTGAACTCGGGAGGTGGATGTTGCAGTGAGCCAAGATCGTGCCACTGCACTCCAGCCTGGGCGACAGAGCAAGACTCTGTCTCAAAAAAAAAAAAAAAAAAAGTAAAGCCTATGCTAGCTCACATTCAAGTATTCCCCATTGTCTATTGAGTGAAGCCAAAACTTCAGGAACCTCTGCCATCTGGTTCTAGTCAATTTATCCAGACTCACACCACTTCTTCACTCTAGTCATACAAGCCATTTTCTGAGAACATAAGAGTGTTTCATTACCCCATGTCCTTTGCACATGCTACCTCCTTAAACCTAGATAGCCTTCCTATTCCTCTTTGCATATTAAAGTCCTGCTCATCCTTAAACATCAAAAATACCAGTTTTTCCATGAGACCATCCCCAATCTAAGAAAAATTATTAGTCTTCTGCTTATACCTAACTTCAGAAATGTTTTCTTTCTTCTTAACTTATAATTAGTTATATATATGTGATATATAAATATAAACATCTTGAGGTTATGGAACATTCCTCCCTATATGTGCATCTGTATCTTATATCAAATGTCTTCAATTGATGTTTATTGGATTGGATGTGAAATAATATTCCTAAATATGCATGTGTCTAATTCAAGACCATTTTGATAGACTA